AGAAAGACGCTATACAAGTACAGTACAAGCAGACTACATTAGACAATACCACAGCTCAATCATTCTGAAGTTTCACTGTGTCGTCTTGTCTATATTAGTAGCAGGTTGAAGATAGAATCATTATCACCTGTCATCACCTCATTGATGCAGTGTTACTGTCACCACTGAACAACATGCTCTATGTACCATGTGATTGTCTACTTGTGTGTATTTATAAAAATATTCTAGCTCGCTGGGTGGCCCCAGCTGTTGACAGACTCCCCTGGTCAGAGGTAGGCGCTGGAGCCAACGGATTTGCCTTCTTCCAGCCGCTGGCGGTCAGATCGTCACTGTGTCGGAGGCTGTAGAGCATCTCTGCTACCTTCTGCACTCCCTCCTCCTCCACAAACACATCCCGACTCCGCTCTGCTATGAACTGCCCAGACTCATGGGGAAACAGAGGCGGCTCCATGGCGGACGCTGTAATTTATGGAGAGGAAACACACCTGACGGGACACTTGTATAACAGGTAGGCACACGAGCATGTATACAAACAAACACATTCCCCGGCAGTCCCTAGATGACTCATGTTTCACGTTTGCTTAGATACACATTCATGTTTGTGAGTTTGCAAATACACCTTAAACCAGACATTTCCAGCCCTAAATCCACTCCCTCCATCCAGCCTGTGACATTATGTCAAAAAGATAATAATCTGGGCTGCAAGATTTACGTTCGTATCATATACATTTAAACATTCACTTCATATAAAATTAACATTTTAAAAAACAACTCTGTTTTAAAAAATGTATTTCGTTTAGTGCAAAATAAATGCAAAGGTTCCTGTAAATGCATGAAACTGTTGATAAGAAGAGCAAGTTTAAGGCCTTTGTTTGTTGTTTGGCTGCAAACAACAAAGATGATAAGAAAATGTTTAGAAACTGCTGTTTGCATTTTTCTTTTGCATTTATTTTGTACATTTCATGTAGTAATTGATCGTTGAAGTGGCCCCTCCAATGAGATGACAATACCAGCAGTGATTCCAAGTCGATCTGAGTTTGAGACCCCTTCCTTAAGAAGTCTAAGTCCATTACAGACTTCAGGAGCAGCTTCTAAGAGCATGCATGGGTGCGTGCGTGCAGGGGCAAATGTGAATGTCTGTGCCCTTTTCACACTGAAACGCCAATATCCTACATACATCTCCGGGAAGTGACATTTTAAAGATGATGTCCCTGCTTTATTAGGTAATTCACAATTAACAAAACATAACCAAGATGAGAGAAACATAAGGAAGCATTTCTTTTTGTTTTAAAGGAAAACCTTACATGAGTTTACAACACTAGGACTGCCTTCTCCAGTGTTTTTTAGGGTCTGACTTCACTCTCATCTCATGTAGGCACTGTAAAAGTGCTAAAGAGTGCACAAACATAAAAGCCCCGCACACAGGAGCATCTCTGACCAACCCCATTATTAAAACCAAAAGAACTAAATTACATCCTTCTCTCCGTCAACCTCTAAAAGCTGCCTCCTCTCTTCCATCAATCTGAAGTGTCCAATAGCTGTGTTAATGATGCATTTCCTATCAGACTGATAATAGGATACTGTGACGCACAAACACAGTGGCCTACTCAATGAAACTCATTTTCTCTGCTCTTTCCGCGGTGAGTCGCTTCATTTACTTTTCACTGTGAAATAAAAAAGGCTGTTTTTCTTGGAAATAGCGGCGTCGTCCAGCCCAGGTATAAGACGTCTTTACGTTTTATTACGAGCAAAGTGCACGTCCTAACTCCCTCTGCTGTACTCTCTCTCCCCACTGTAAGACCGACGCTACTGAGCTTTCCACGCCGTTTATCAACAATGCAAATAAACTTATAACACAAACGTTGTGTTCAGCGACAATGTACCACTTTATTGGCACATAAACATTCATTTAACCGAACTTACCAATGAATACAGGGACAGTATCCTGCAAGCTCGGGCCACGTCGTGTTTCCGCTACCTGTTGTTCCAGCTGTTGACCAATCAGAGCCTCCGTTCTGAGCTCGTCATAGGCTGATAAACCAATCACAAGAGGCCAAAGAGGAAACCGGAAACAGTATCCATTCCGTTATAAATAAAGTAATAATAGTAATATATATATAGTAATAATCGTCCCTACGTATAAATTACTTTGTATATATTCTGGACCGGGTGAGGCCAGAAATGGCATTATTTTAATAATGTCAGTAATCAAAAAATCCACCCAATGAGCATTAATTAAAGTTTACCACAAACAGGTAAGTGATTATCAGGTTTCCATAACTTTTGATTGATTTTTTAAAGCAAAAATTTAATTATAATATATAAGTGTCTTTTATTTAGATACAGCTCAATGTTAAGATCGGCTCCTTTTCTAAATGTAATATTTTTAGCCTGTGGACAAAACTATTTGCAGCTTGCCTCTGGGTTTCTGTGATGGATATTTTTCACATATTTAACTCACTTAGTCCACTAAATTATATACATATATATATTAACATATCATTTTTAGTTCTAATTTCATGTATAAAATGGCCCAAAAATAAATTGCACAACTGTTAGCCCGATTACCATGAGTGCACAGAAAATGTTCAATCATTAAAAACGCAAACTGGTTCAGTAAAAAGTGGCACCATCTTTATTCAGTTTACATTTTGACAATGTGAAATCTACAGCATGGAGAGCAAACAAGTGTAGAGCACAGGAAATTGTAGGACAATATAAGTTGTCAAATCTCCAATAAAATGTCAAAACAAATTTCTAGCTACATGTTACCATTTGTGAGGAGTTGCTTCACGTATTCAGATTTATTTCACCACACAACTACCATGAATATTCTTACAAATTAGTGGGACTGTCCTGTATCTTTGTGTGTACAAGAGTCCCAACTTAAACGTCCCAAAATTCATTTTGAAGGGTAAAATTTCCCACATCTCTAAAAACAAAACATAAATGGTTCAATATGAAAAGAAGCATTGCTTACATTCTGCATGTTGCTAATGTTAATGTGGTACAACTGTGTGTGAAGGGACCGATATAGACAACAGAAAGCACACCAATCCACACACGCTGACATGCTCACACGCGTACACACACAGGACAGATTTAAACCGGAGACACAAACATACACATACAAGTCATAAAAAACAAAACCATCAAAAAATAAAGGTTATGTTTATTTTTGTCTGTCAGGAGACTGAATAATATTTTGATAGAGTGAGTGTTAGAAAGAAAAAAAAAAAGCAAAGTATATCTGATAAACTAATGGACTACACTCTTAAAAATGCAGAACATCTACATTTTCTTTTATGCACAGGAATGTTGGACATTTATTTCATTAAAAAATACAAAAATAAAATTCAAAAAAGACACCCACAATCCAGAATAATAGTCTGAAGGGGATATTGTTGGACAGGGGCAGAAAGGTTGAAGGAGTTGGGTGGGGGTGGGGGGGGCAATCTGAGTCTGCTTCAATCTGAGTCTCCTGGGTCTACAGCAAATGACCAGAGTACTGCTTCACACTGAAATAAAAAGAGTGGAAAAATAAATAAAATATACAAGAAGAAAAATATACAAGAAGAAAAATGCTAATCACAAGTCGATGACAGTATAAATACATAGCTATGCAACTGTGGGAGGATGAAGTCTTGGGAGGGAAAGGATGGGCAGGCGGAGCGGGAAGAGAGACAGACAGCGAGTAAGAAAGACAGGCAGAGAAGAAGAGGTGAAATAAGTGGCGGAAGGAGAGCAAGGAAGAGGAGGGGAGGGGAGAAAGAGGGGTGTGGTTAGTCTTGTTCCAAAGAAAGGTGCAGCCACACCCGAAGGAGAGGAGGGAGGAAGAGGAGAGGTTTAGATGGAGGAGGAGGAGGAGGAGGTTAGGAGAGGAGTGAGAGGGAGGTTAGGTAGGTAGGAGGAGAGGAGGAGGAGGAGAGGAAGGAAGAGGAGCCAGGGTTAGTTACCATGGCAACACTACACTTACTCAGTTGAAAGACATCAGCCGGCGCCAGGTCTAACAGCTGTAAATTGATGACATTCGGGGCTTAAAGCTTGGATAGCCATCAAACAAGGAAGATGTGTGTATTATACGTGCCTACTGGTTGCCAAGGGAGACAGAAGAGGAGGAGCCCGTGCTATTTGGCAGACTGTGATTTGTTGTCGGTTGATCTAACTAAAAACAACAAAATCACTAGTCTTCCACACAGCAGCAGCCAGGGGAAGAATCAATCCACTCCCTGCTTCACAGTGAAACGGCTTTGATGGCAAATGTTTTGTTTTTTTTTCTTCTACCAATCGTATTCAATGGACAAATGTGAGAGTCAAAGAAACATGTCAATCACATTGATCCTTTTTTTTAAAAAAACAAAAAAACAACATTATGCAATATGTACAGTAATTAAGTTTGCCTACTCATTCACAGCCATTTCATGCAAGAGGAAGGTTTGAACTAGTTGCAGGTTGCATGGGGAAGAAAGGAAGGGGGTTAGTGAAGAAGAGACAGCAGGCAACAGAAATGCATAACCCAACAGAAAGTGGGTTTAATAGTATTAGGATGCAGTTTCAGGAAAAAAACAAAAACATTATGCATTTACAATACAAAATCTATATACGTGTGATTCCGTGGGTGGAAAGAGAGGGAAGGAAAGTGAGCATCTTCTAAATACGTTTACTTCTTTTGAGCTCGCAAGAGTTTAAAAGCCTTCATTTTTTATGATCGGTTGCATCATCAACACGTTATTTATGCAACCCAACAGATACGAGCTGAGGCCAGAATAACAGACAGAACAAGTTCAGAGGTTTTCAAAAGGTTCCAGTCAAGCTAGTAGGCTTGATGAACACAACTGGATGGGATAAATGGTTCAACTATTACTTGGGTGCTGAATGAAGAATTTCTAATACGATGGAAACAGTGTTAATACAACGAGGCTGTGTCAGAACTTGCCTGTTCTGTAGGAGGAACTGGGCGTTCTGGATCTGATCCTGGGTGCCAGCGATGGTGATGATTCGGTCCTCAGAACCTTCCAGAGGTTCATCGATCTTGATGGAGGCCCCAGACTCGTGGCGGATCTGTTTGATCCGCTGGCCTCCCTTACCAATGATAGAGCCAGCCAGCTGTCGTCGGGGGGAACCGAGAAGAGAACGAGAAGGGCGGGGATGGAAGGAAAATAAGAAAAGCATGCACAGACATATTTTAGGCACTGGGAATATGTGTGTGAACCTTAAAAAATGTGACACGTAAAAGAGGAGACAGGAACACAAAAGCACAAAAACAATGAACGACTTCTACGAGCTTGTCTAGTGTGGGTGAAATGGAACAAGTCCATGTGTGGGAGACTTATTGACGACCGTACAAATATCATAGCAGTCATTACGTTGCTGACACAAATAATGGAATATGACGAACACACGACTAAATGTCATTTATATAAGGTTAATCAGAGTGTAGATGACATGATCACATATGGCGATGTAGGCTGACTGAACGTTACTTATGATATGAGAGCACAGGGGATGACGTAGACTGATTTTGCTTTGCTGTGCCAGTTTCTATGTTAAGTTGCTGTCATTTACTCACATCTTTAGGGATCGTCACTTGTGTGGTGATGACAGGACCGCCCATGTCATTATAGGAGCCACGTCCACCTGACGGCAGAGAGGGAGGGGGAGAGGTGAAGACAAGCACGGAAAAAGCAGAGTGTAGAAACAGAGGAGAGTAAGTAGAGCGCCAAAAATCAATACCTGGCTGCAAACATTATCACACATGGCTCAGCAGATTTTCCTAATCGTATTGATCAATGGAAAAACTTGACTCACCTGACGGGTAGTTATCCCAGGAGGAACTGTTGTCTGAGGAGAGAAAGCGAGAAGGAACAGACAATGATAAACATTACGTTTTTTTTCTGTGACATTTGTAGACTACAAATATTTAAATGACCCATCACAATATTAATCTCAAACGTATGGTATATGTTCAACAGAGATCCTGAAGAAAAGTGCTGAATAATATGAAATGATCTCTTCGTGCCATCTTTAACATTTGTTGTCAGATACTTTAAGTAAAATATAATTTCACTAGAACATCTCCTCCTCCCCCCCGACACATTACTGTGAGCTGCAATGTCCTAGCCAGGTTGTCACTGTACAGTCATTCATTTTGTCTATGAACGTTACATTCAGACAAAATGCTTGACACTACAGTATGTTGAGAAGAGCACGGATCCGAGGCCTGCACACTCGTTAACAGGAACGTTAACACACATTAACATCCATAATAATGACACAGAAAAAAAAAACACGAGGCTCAGTACTTACCATATCCTCCTCCGCTCTGTAAAACACAAACAGAAACACAAACGGGTTACATACAGTGCAGCCGATTCTTTTCATCTTTCTATAGATCCCGGATCAATGGACGGAGAATTGTAAGCACACATGTATGGACGACGCTGCAGCCTCATCCATGGAGTAGACTCAACTAAAAGCCACCCAGTTTTCATCCATAAACCAGACTCCTCCTCCTTCCCTCCCTCCATCCCCCCTTCCCGTCTCTCCTTGCATCTCCATCAGCCCCCATTTTCACCTGCTATTCAGCTGCTGCTGTCACCAGGGCAACAGGCAATTCAAAAAGCTGTTGCTGAGCAACGGCAGGCAGTATCCTGCCAGCTCTCAGAGAGAGAGAAAGGGAGAGGGAGAGAGAGACCTTCCAGTCTGTCAACAAAGCGTTATTATTGCCTAGCAACCAACCATGGCCACCCCCACCCTCCCCACCCCCAACATCCTCCCTCTCTTTGCAGGAAAAACAGGCTGGCCGTGAAAAGTACACAGTAAGAGGGCAATTATAGCTGATTATTATGGGGTGTCTCCGGCTGTGGTGATTATGGTCATTTGGTGGGAAGGCTTACACCGTGCCAAAACTAGCTTGGCTACACGGCCGAGGCTCAGATGAGTGTGTGCACACGACTGACCAGCTATGGTTATACTGTCAATAAATCTCTATTATCATCACA